GCTCTCTCTCTCTCTCTCTCTCTCTCTCTCTCTCTCGTTCTGTCTCGCATGCACACATAGACTTCAGAATTTTAGCCAATATCATATATCAGTGGAACCACGTTCAGATTCTGTGAGATCATTGTCAGGTTCACAGGAAGAGCAGAAAAAATATGCATGCACACACACACACACACACACACACACACACACACACACACACACACACACACACACACACACACACACACACACACAAAACCCCCAACAACAACAAAAATCATGCAAACTAACAAACCTGCTAAAAAAAAAACTAATCATAACGAACTGTATGGAGAAAAACAAATTAAAAACTAACTTTGAGCAAAAAGCCAAGTCTATTCTAAGCCAGTTCTGGACTTGATTACTCGACGGCCGTATTCCGATATTGCGGGCAAAAAGCCATCCGGCGCGTTGCTCCTATTTAAAGATATCATCTGAGGAATTTCCATCGCTGTTGTTGTGGGGGATGGAAAAAATGAACGCACTGTCAACGTGATACTTGAATGTGAAGTAGCGTGTTCATCTCAGACCCTCCAAAGTCCACAATGGAGTCCATCTGAGGGTGTTTCTTGGGTCGGAGGCCAAACGGCCACCTGAAATAGACATTAGCCCAAACTGCGCGTCTATATTAAGGCTCTTTTAACGAAACGTCAGACCTGTCTGACAACTCATTTGGGACCGGGGAATGTGCACATTGTGTTTTGGCCGCGGCGTCCTCCCCGCCGCCTCCTGCGGCCGCCTGCGAATTGATATTCACCATGGCATGTGCTTGCCAGACGCGCTCTGTGGTTGGCCAGCATGTGTGTGTGCGTGTGTGTGCGTGTGCGCGTGCGCGTGTGCGTGTGCGTGTGCGTGTGCGTGTGCGTGTGCGTGTGTGTGTGTGTGTGAGGAGATGTTGTGCTAGCGGAGATGTGGCAGAGATAACTGCAAAAACCTGCTCTCTCCCCAACGGCTGGAGTGCACAGCGCCGGCTTGGTGTAATTGGAGACCGAAACATCTGTCAAAGGCATTGCACGTTCCATCGGCGAAAATGTCATTATCCCCAGGCCGCGCCAAGAAAACACGCAGGAGGTATTTTGAGAGGGACGCCAACCACAGAGGCACTCTGCTCGCGTAAATGCGTGACGGAAATAGCCGCGAGTTGCCCTGCCCGGATCCTGCGTCTGAGTGCAGTTCGGTCTACGAGGCCGCACCGCCGCCCCTGATTGGGGTCCCGACCAGAGAGGGAGAAAACGAGCTGGCTGGAGATGTGGACCGAGTTAAAAACAACAAAATCCAAAAAGTTGGCCACCATCAAGCTCCTATAATAGCCCTGTCCTCGGAGACGTTCCCATGTGATCCCCCCGCCAACCACTGCTCACTGAACTGCATAAAACTCAAATGTGAGGGTCTGCTTTTCATGTGGGGGGGCGCTCCTGAACCTCGTGAAGACCTCACATCCAAGGTCTCATCCACCATGGACTTGGGAGGCTCGCGGGGAGGCCTTTGTTCCTTTGCGGGCGACAGTTTGGGACAGAGAGATCCATTTCCGGTCCCTCCTTCAGATAGCAATGAAACCAAAGAATGATCAGTCTGTTCCAGTATTTGGAGGAGTGGGGGGGGCGCTTTGGCAGCTTCACTGGAAGAAGAGGAGCGACGGTTGGATGCTACTCCAAAAAAAAAAAATGCTCGCAGTGAAGTGGCCACTGAGCTGAGCGTCTCACAGTGTCATCAGCGGATCCACAGAGACCGGAAGAGTCACAGAAAGGCACAGAAGTGGACATCCTTGCCTCGCCATGACCTCGTACTTGATACGTCCGTCATGCCTTGTGATCAAATGCCGTTCAAAAACACAAACATTGCAGATGTCAAGTAATCGGCGCCGCCACTGGGATCGCTGTCGGGACATCTTGTCCATTCAAAAACTTAAATTTGAAGTTCACCCCAAAGCTGAATATCCCGTACGCTTTGTGAGTCGTGTCTCGTCGGTTGTTTGTGGCGAGTGTGGCGAGGCCAAACTCTGCTCACCGTGGTGACGTTGTCTTGAGCCGCACTCGCTCAACCCAAAAATCCATCGCCTCCTCTTCACCTGGACTCGCCGTGGGAGAGATTTCCCTTTTGGGGGGCCACCACGTGGGTTCATTCAAGCACCTGCAGGACTACCGAGCCCCTCCCCGCCAGCTCCAGTAGCCGTCTTCTGGGCGACTAAATCCCCCTCACGGGGGACCCGTAAAGTGTCACATAATCGTGCTCCCCCTCTGCAAGCCTCCACTACAGTCTGCCGCTTGTCTGCCCCCACAGAAGCCGCCGGCGGAGCCAATTGGGGAGGCGGCGGGGGGCCAGCCGGCGGCGGTGGCGGCGGCGGCGGCGCCGTGTGCCAGAAGACCAAGGAACACGATGTGGTGCAGCGGCAGCGGGTGGTGGACCTGTGGAAAGACGGCAAGTCGGAGGGGGCCATCGGCCTGGAGCTGCGGATGCCCAAGTCGACGGTGCACAGCATCATCGTCAAGTATCGGCTCAGTAACACGGTGGAGAACCTGCCGCGCAACGGTCGCCCCAAAAAACCCTGACGAGCCACCCGGGATCGTGCCTTGGGGAATACCCAGGGAGAGATGTTGCAAGTCGGGGGAGGGGGGGCTCCAGCGCCAGAGACGTCGGAAAGTGGCACCGACGACTCGCGTGCAGGGAGTGGAAAACAAATGCGGACCTCGGAGAAGACTGGATGTGAATGCAATAGCAGGTTGTGAGGAATTCAGTGCGAGGAATACATTCCTGATTTCCTGAGGTTTCCCCCCCCCACCCCCCTTACGAGAAAAAAAAAAAAAAAGAGTTCCCCTTGGATCAATTCTTCATCCACCAGCAGACTGAAGGAGCCTTTCTCCTCGCTTTGACCCGATACTCCCTCATTCCTCCGCAGTCTTCCACTCCTCCGTCTCGACACTCGCGCACGAACGCACGCGCGCGCACAAACTCGCGTGCATACTGTGCAGACCCCACACAGAATCTTGCAAAGGACTTGATGGATCTGCAGACTGCAAGCAGATGAACGGCACTGACCAAAGTCATCCGGGAACACCAAGCTCCATGGACACAAAGAGTCGGGGGTTGGAGCCAAGACTTCATTGTCTCGCTCGAATTAGATTTGGCTCTTCAACAGTTGGGGGTGAGGGGGGCGGGGGGGGGGGGGGCATCGGGATGGCATTTGGTTTGGATCAGGCGTGTGGATGCTTTTGTTTCGACACTTTATTAAAAGAAAGCAAAGGTGAGGAATGAGCTTACGTCCTGTCATCGATCAATTTGCGCTGGCTTAAGGCTGCTGCTCCGAGTTGAGATGTTCAAGTATTTGACCGTCGTTTTTTCCAAGTGGGGCTCATTGTATGCCTCCCGTTTTCTGTCGAACAACCTGCTGCAAACTCGTGTCGGACACGCGGCCCAACCCGCGTGTCGGTTTTGCTTCGGCCGTCCGTCCCTGCGGTGGTATCCGATAACGCCTGTCTTCACTCCACTTGAGCAACTTGATGCGTACCAGTGGTGACAACCCCCGTTTTGACGCACGGTGCGCCTCATCGCTCAGTTTTGCCAAAGCCGGCCGGCCGGCCGTCCATCCATCCATTTTCTTTCCACTTTACCTAATCGCAGTGTATTTCCAAATGAAAGAATTGGTACATGCCAATACTTTTTGTGTTAATGCACACTGCACCCTAATCATCCTGTCAGTCTCCCTTTCACAAAAAGTATTAAAAAATAAAATAAAGCAGGTCCCCTTTAACCTACGGTGGCGCGTGACCTGCGTCACCGGAAGCTGTTAGCGCTCCGCAGACTTCAAATGCAGCTTGCCATCAGAGCTGTTGCGATATAGCTTTTATTATTATTATTATTATCTTTAATTTATATATTGATATAATACGTTTTGTGTACATTTCACCGATGGCACTGGCAAAGAATTGCCAATCTGGAGGGGCGAGAGAAGCATTTGAAAATGGTACGCGTGACCTACGATCGTGAACAGGCTGCTAACGTGCATCGCATGCCTCCGCGTCAGGTCCCCCGCTAAGGTAGGCAGGAAATCCTTTTCACCAACTCATCAACTTTTGTGTCTGCTTTATTTTTCTGTTTGGTTCATCGTCGGGGCCGTTATGGCTGTTGCTCATCATGGCAATGCGTGTGTAAGTGCGTGCGTATGCGCGCGTGCGCGGAAACGGGTCGATCGCGGGAGGTTGTTTGATCGCGAAGGAGATCTTAGCTCAAAAAGGTTTCGGTCACCCCTGCTCTAACCCTTGTTTCAATTCTGCTTCGGCCATCCATCCAATTTTCAATTTCGCTTGTCCACGTTGTCACGCATTTCTCCCAAATTTATTTAAGGCAACTTGTTGATTTCGATTTGGCGCCCCGTACATGCTACATTCCCAACATTTTGGATCTGGCTTTTTGTTTTTTTCTTTCTTCTCTTTTTTTTGTTATCCGCTAAAGAAGCAGATTTCCTCATGTGGATTTGGTGGAGAGCAAAAGCCCAAAGAATGCTCCTGCTGCTGCTGTGTCATGGATGTGTGTCAAAGTCACGCTCAGACACCCGTGCAAATCACTTCCAACCTCTGATTTCCTGCTCTCCCTCTCGATTGAGAAAGTCCAGCGGCGTGTGGATTTATGAAAGCCCAGCTGGAGCGACTCTCCGCTCTGAAGTTTCGCACGCACACACGCACAGACGCACGGTCCAGAATAGAACTCTTTGGCACGGCTACACTCGGGCGAGCTGAAACGCTGCCTGGCTCCGCCAAGATGGCAGCCTTTTCGTCCCTTAGATAGCAGGCAGGACCTACCGGGGAGAGGTTTTTATGATCTGTTGGACCTGACTTGCTTCATCTGGTGCAGTGCTGAGCTGCTCCAGAACAATCCCGAGCTCAACGGGTGTCAAATTAAAAAAAAAAAAAAACTGCCTCCGTTACCCCCACATTTGACAAACGGTCTCACCTGTGGGTCAGTTCTGCTTTGGCCATCCAACCCATCCGTTTTTCCGCCGCGCTTGTCCTCATCGGTGTCCCAGGTGAGCCGGAGCCTCTCCCAGTTGTCTTTGACCAAAAATCACCATAAAAGGTCGCCCCTAAAAACATTTGGAGCCGGGAAGTTTTCCCGCACGCCCTCTAGCGGACGAGTTATAAGCAGCGCTCGATTTGCTTCCTCGTTCACCCAGTCTTCACCTCCGTTTGTTTTGCTTCTCATGCGATATGCTCCCCTCTCTCTTTCCAGTCCCTCCGTTGGCCCCTCGCTGGCAAAGGGCCACGAATCGAGTTAGTCTTGCCTCCTTATCGCAGGGTTGATCTGGAAGTGCTGTTATGACATTCGAGCCCCGGTGCGAGCGCACCCGTCATCTATTTCTAGCTTTTGTTTGGAAAAGGCGCCGTCAACTCGCCGGCGAACTCCCCGAAGCACGTTCGACAAACGTGGGAAGCGTCTGCACCTTTGTGTCAAATGAGTGTTTTGGCTTACGGTGTGCCACCAGGCTCTATGCTCCGACACCATTGCTTGTCGCGCATCCGGGAAGCACTCAGTGCTTAACTCCAAATCTTATCCCATCCCCAACCCCACCCCCTCACCTTGCAGTGCTCAACGGCCCCCCCTTGTCAGTCAAGAAAGAGCGGGAAGGAGAACTGCGACGGGAGCAACGTGGCAGCGAGGTCATCTGTATTGACGACTAGGTTAATGCTCAAGGGCACACTCGCATATAAGAATGAGTATTCAAGCTGCACTGAAAAGAAACAACATTTATCATGAGAATCTTTGTTTGATGGCTTTTGTTCTCATCAGATGAGGGTTTTTTTTTCTTTTTTTGTGACTATTCTCATGAGATGCATGGAAAAATGTGACAATATTCTCTTAAAGATTGACTTATTTTCTCTTCGGTTTCTGACTTCATTCTCATAAGATTGACTTTTTCTTGAAACATTGTTTTAAATTTATTCTTGTCAAAGAAAGATGATCCTACCAAACAAAACTGACTTTCTATAAAATTATGACTTGAAAAAATATTGACCTTAATTCTGATATTTTTTTCTTTAAAAAGTTTACGACTCACGGTATTTCTCGGAAGATTATGCTGTAACTAGATTTCGACTGTTTTTCAGAAAAAAATACTATACTTTTTTAAGATTAACACTGTAAAATGAGTGAGCTATTTCACACACAAAAAAGACTATTCTCTAAAAATGATGTTTTTTTTCAATTTAAAAAAAAATTTATTTTGATTTTGATTTTATTCTTGGAAAAATTAACTCAATTGTTTTCTTTAAAAAAAAAAATAATTCTTGTAAGATTCCAACATTTTCTTTTTTTAAATTAACCCACCTTGAATCTCGAAAAATTGTTCTCCAAAATATGGCTTCATAATCCCAAGACTAACATCAATCAATAGATCATATTCTTAATATTTGGATTTTGTCTTAAATTTTGACTTTCAAACAAAGACGGATGATGTCATGACTTAATTCTCATATAATATTTGTTGCTTCCTTTTAGTGTGGCCCTAACACACACACACACACACACACACACGCACACACACACACACACACACACACACACACACACACTTGCAGTTCTCCTAACTTCCTGTGCTTGTCTGCCTCAAACCATGATACTCCTCAATGAGCCTCCTCTTCCTCTTTGGAGACTTATATACACACACGCACACACACACACACACCTCACTCCGAAAGTATCCTCCCGCTCAAAGCTGCATGCAAATTTCTGACGGCATGCGTCAATCATCAACAGAGTGTACAGTTGGGTAATGCTCTTTTTTTTTTGTTTTTTTTTTTTGTTTGTTTTTTGGGGTTTCTTTGTTTTGAACCACAAAGCTCCCTGTGAATGTTTCTGACCAGTTTCGCAAACAAATCAGTATTAGCCAACATTCCCCGCACACGTACACACTGTTTAGTTCTTCATAGATGTTGCCTTTATTTTATTCTGTTTCATGTCATGAGGATCAAACGAAGAAGTTTCCAGGTAACTTCAGAATTAGCTTTGTTTCTGATGCCTCTATTTTAGATTTGGGGCTTGCAGGTGGTTTAGACGCACACACACACACACACACACACACACACTTCCACAGTAGATGTCAACTGTTGACACAACTCTGTTCAAATGCCACAGATCTGACTGCAAAGGTGTCAGGAAAAGCCTATTGAACCGCTGAACTTTATTTGGTGTTTATCGGAGACACTTCAAACGGTGGCAGAAGTGAGCAGATTCATTTAACATGACTTTGAATGTGATGGGTAAATTCTGAACAGAACCACAAGCCCCGTTTTTTGAGGGTGTGCACACTTGTGCAACCACATTTATTTTTACTTCCCCTCACAAAAAAAAAAAAAAAATTTTGAGTTGTACAGGTTATAGTTTAGGTTACATTAATGGTGGGGAAAGTTTTTTTTTTAATCATAAAAACCTGGCATTTAAACAGGGGGGTGTAGACTTTTTATATCCACTGTATATGCAGGCCAGAAATATATACGTCGAACTATAATTGTGTTTTGTACACTCCATTGTTGAAGAAGAGAACACAAAAAAACGCCTTACTGAAACATACAAATGGACAAAAAAAAGGGGAAAAAAAGATTTTTTCACTTCATTAAAAAATTTCCAGGCGAAAATGAGTCCCCCTCCCCTGCCGCCCCCCAGCAAAAAAAAACAAAAAAAAAAAAAACACTTTGCTTTGTCCATTTTGTTTTTGTTTTTGTTTTTTTCAATCCTTTGTCAGTACACCTATCAAATGTTGGCCGGCAATGAAAGTATTTACAAAATGACACATCTCCTTATTTTTTTGTTTGTAATAAAACGGAATGAAATGAGATGTGCATGCTCCCTGAAGACTTTTTTGTTGACATGTCCAAGTAAAACTGTGACAGGATGAGGAGAGTTGGCATGTGGGCAAGTATAGTGACGGTTAACCGGAGTACCACAAGGCTCAATGTTAGGGCATCATTACTTGCAGTGCATGCGGAAAGTGTTCAGACAGCTGTCATTTTTGTAGCCTTATTTTAAAAAAAAAAAAAAATAGTCCTCAAAATTGTATACACAAAAGCTCAGAATTACCTGAAAAAAACATCTTGTCAAATTTATGAAAAATAAATTGGCTAATTTATTTTTCATAAATTTTCCTAAATTTGTTTTATTTTCATTATATGAAATACCATTGATTTGCTGTAAATAATCAAATGAAAAAAGTTGGCAAAATGAAATGTATTCAGTGGTAGGTTAATTAATTAATTAATGACACATATAATTTAAGAATAACAAACACATTTTATTCAAATAAAATATTTTACAAACACAGATGATCTTTTTTCGTTTTGAATGACTTGACCTGTATAGCCTGTATACAACATCAGTGTGACTATGTATTTAATTGGTTTTTTTTTTTCTTTCACAAAAATGACCAATTCTTACTGCTTTTTTTTTTTTTTTGCCATCCCCAAAATGCAAAGCATCCAGGCTTTTGCGTACGCTGCCTCACAAAGCACAAAGTCACCTATGACCTTGATCAAAATAGGAATAAGCGCAAGGAAGTGCACGCGTGTGCGCGGCAATGTAGACGTTGCAGCTTCACATTGAGGAAGTGAAAATGGAGATGGCGGCTTTGGTGCGAGCGTGTGTGCTGACGGGGGGGAAATATGAGGCGCTGCGCCGGGGGCTTGCTTTCAAATGTCCCGAGGAGGACGGCGAGGAAATGAAAAGAGGATAAAAATGGTGACATGTTCCTCTCTGCAAGGTTTGAGCCGGCACGAAGGCCGAGTGCCCAGGGCAAAGCAATGCGGCGAGCCCACAAAAACGACTTATAAACAAAGACAAACCACTGCTGGAAATAACACACTTGTTTGCCTTGCGCAAGACCGCTTGGCTTTCGCTTATTCTCCATTAGCGTACTCGCTGTGGAAAAACATGATTGGAATGTTGCTTTTTTTTGCGGGGGGGAGGGGGGCATTTCACTGTGTTCCAAATTATTCTGCAAATAGATTGAAGTTAAATGGATGGTGAGAATTGTCTTTTTTTTTTTTTTTTTTAAGAAAAAAAACACACTTTATTCTTATAAGATTGTCTTTTTTGCTTTAAATTTTTTTTATAATTTTCGTTAGTTGTGACCTACAAAAAAATGTCAATTTTTTTTCAGGAGGAATTGTCTGACTGTGAAAATTGTGCGGCTCGCATGAGATTTTTGTTCAAAGAAAAAAAAAACATTTTCATCACAGAATTGCGACTTTATTTCTTGAAAAAAAAAATCGACATCTTTCTTGTCAGACTGGCTCCCCCTCCCCTCCCCCTCATCAAAATCTGCCTTTATTTTCACAAAAGAATGGGTGACCTTTTTCTTTGCATAATTTCACATAACCCTCGTCAGGTTACGATTTTCAATTTAATTCTCAAAAGGCTCCCATTTGTTTTCAGTCCCAGCTCTTTGTGCTCCATAAATGTAATGCATGGAGGGATTTCATTTTAAGTTGGACACTCCTGATGAGAAAAAAAATAATGAGAAGAAAACTCCACTCGCATCCCTTGACCTCAACCCTATTGAGAGAGCATTGAAGAAAATCACCCCAAACTGCATCTGCTTCATGTTTTGGAACGCAGCCTTTCGCGTTCTCGTGGCCCACAAGCGCTTTTCAAAATGTCTGTGATCTTTCTTTTTGAACGACAGGCAAAAATAGCAACAAAAAGAACCAAGAGAAGTGACTGTCCCCCCGCCCCCCCCAAAAAAAGTCCAAAACAGTCCAATTTGATGTTGAAAAAACAAACTTCACATCTCCGTGATGTGCAAAATGTTCCCAGTTTTGTGCACTGTTCGTCCCCAAAGGCGGAAGCTCGGCTTCCGATTCCCATCCGCCCCCTCGCGGGGGGGAGAGTTGGCGTCGCCAGCCAAACAGCGTCCGCACGCCGACGTCGGCTTCACCCCTCCGTCATTCCCCACCCGCCCCACCCCACCAAAAATCGAGCGTCCGCAGGAAGAGGCGGCGCTAGGGGAAATCTGGAAGGACGACAGCTCCCCCCCTTTCGGGAGACGTCAGTTGACTTTGAAGATGCTGAAGACGTGAGGCGAGGCCGACGGGTTGCCCACCGTGTGCAGGCGGAAGGAGGGGCCGGTGACGGCGTGCAGCTGGGTGCCCTTGTCCAGGCGCAGGAGGCCCGACACCTGGCACGGCTTGAGGAAGTGCGACGGGTGCGGCCCGGCCGACGGGGTGGTCCCGTAGCCCTCCATGCACTGCAGCTTCTGCGGCCTCTGGCCTCCCGTCACCACGTCCAGCTTGACGTACTGCGACTCCTGCTCGTTGAACAGAACCTGCCGACCAGGCCAGCACAGCTTCAGCTTCCGCTCGGGCGCAACGCAACGACGCGCTCTATCCTGCCCTCTGGTCCCCACTCTTCTTCTTCTTCCGCTTTGAGTCAAATGGCGACTGTTTGAGAGCTGCGCCACTGGCCAGCTTTGCTTTTCACCGCTCTTATCCCGGCGATTACGCCGCCGAGCGGACACCCGACAGTTCCGAAAATACGACCGCACCGCATCCCAACGGTAACTTGCAGTCCATTCCACTTGAGTCTTCTGGCTGACACGCTTTTCGTTTAGAATGTCACTTTGATTTGACTGCTTCTGACTTTGAGAGACGCACGACTCCTCAAACTGTCATGCATGTTTTTGGGATGTGCGAGGAAACCGGAGTACCCGGAGAAAACCCACGCAAGTACGGGAGGAACATGCAAACTGCACACGGGAAGGCCGGAGCCAAAATCGAACCCTGCACCTCCGCACGGTGCCGCCCGCCTTTGGAATATAATATCGCGATTGTGTTTTTCGACTCCACTTCAGTGTGGGCAGTGTCTTGCTCTCTTCCCTGGACTCTTGAATGTCTTCAGATGACTACGCTACATCTTAACTGCATCCTGCACTCTACTGGAGTCTCTTCCGGCTGAGAAAGCTTTGAAAAGACAATACGTTCGACTTCTCAGCTCTAGTCGACTCTCTTCCGTGTAACGTGCCTTCCGGTGTACTTCTTGGTTTGATGCTCGCTCATTGAATCTCCGGATATTAAACGTAAAACGCAACCCGGGTCGCATTTGACCGTATCCGGCACTCAATTTGACATCACCGTTGCTGCGCTCGAGCGGCAGCGCCAAAATGCGTTTGTGTTTGAGGGAATCGTTTTGTGGGTGGTTGTCGGGGCCGTACCTGACAGAAGAGGAAGTAGACGCCCGGCTTCTCCACGACAAAGGTGCCTTCTTCCTTGTTGTAGCTCACCGCTTTGCTCATGTTGAGCATGCGCTCCTCCCAGCCCTTGATCACGCCGCCTTGGCCCACTGAGAGCACACCAAGCGTCATGTCAGGCGAGCAACGTGCAGCCGGCCACCCACCTTCCACCGCGGCCCCCGACGTACCCCGCTCTTACCTTGCTGAGAGGAGACTTTGGTGACTGTCGGGAAGGAAAAGCAAAGTCAATTAAGGCTTCTTTTTTTTTTTGCTGCAGACGCTAACGTGAGACGAGGCATCTGCCAGGCCACTTACTCTCAAAATGAGACGCCGCTTTCTTGCCGTTTCCGTGCTTCCCGCGCAGCGTCCCCCCTTTTTTTTTTTTTTTTTTTGCAGACAAAACGTGAGTGTGACAAAGAAAACACTCCTGCGGTTCCACAATCTGTCTCCCAACGGCGCACTCATTTGCCTCCCATCTCGTCGCCGTCTTAACACGCTTAGCAGATGGCCAAAAGATTTCCCGTCACGTGCTTTTCATGCGTTCCCTCAAACTGTTCTTTTCATCATCGTAGTGTGCCGGCTGCTCGTAAGGAACCCCCCCCCCGATGGAGTGGAGAAGACCAAAGCATCCAATGTAAACGGAATAAGCGAGATGAAGTGGTGGAAAAGAGTGTCCGAAGGCGCAACCGTTGCCAGGCAATAAATTTTTCTCGAGCTGGTGACAAAAGTACTCACATGCTGTACTGACATTAAAAAAAAAAAAAAAAAAAGTAGTACTGGTTGAACTTGTCATCTATTGGTTATAGAGTCTCGTCATATTCGCATGGCTCCCCTGCCTGCGTCGACAATGTTTCGTGTGTGGCTAGCAATGCTAACGAACAAAAATGAGGCCTACTTTAAGCTAGGTTTCGCGAGCGTATAGCATTAGCAGTCATCGGCTGCGACTGTCCATGTGATAATAGTTTGGGATTATTTCATTGAGCTTAGTTTTTGCTTGACCTTTTGTTTTTTTTGTAATTCAGTTTGAATTAGTTTTTAGCCCAGTTTTGTTTATTTTTATGAACCGTTCGTGTTTTCGGTAATGCTAGGTTTTAGAGTACTTTTCATTTGTTTTATTATTCCTTTTTTTTTAAACGGATGGGGTATTTGTCAAGTGCAAGATTAAAAACAAAAACCAGAAGGAAGAGGGGAAAAAAAACTATAAATTTTGTGTCATGCAGTAAACGACAATCCCAAAACAGTTGTTCAACCTTTCTTCTCCTTCACGGCCAAAGCCCAAAAGCTCATATCTGATATTAACTGACCAAGATGAAAATGAAGGACATTTTCCGTTTTATAAACGTAGGATGCTGTTTCAGTTACTTTGGTTTGTTTTGGCGTTTTTTTGTAAAGTTTTTAATCCGTTTCATGATGAAAATGTCTCGGGGGAGAAGTTACTTTGTTAGTTGTCATTAGCTGTCATAACTTTGGCAACCACGTAGGCTAACATTTCGCTCGTCAATGGCGCGTTGCATCATGTGTTAGCATTAAGCTAGCGGGGGCACTCTGAAGGCCAAGTGGCTTGTTGTTTTCAAAACACAAAGTGTAATTGTCTTTTATGTTTAGCTTGACAGTAAACATTAACTTGGAGAGGCATTAGGCAGCTCAAAGCTTCTTTTGAAAAGAATTGCCCACCCCGCGGTCTCATGGGTTCACTCCCGGACGTATTCTTCAAGCCGCCCGCAAAACGGCCGCTATAAATACCGCAATGATAGGTCATCAAGTATCCCTGCTTTCACAACAAATCATAGCTGTCGGAGTCGCGACAGCACCCCCCCCACCTCCAAAAAAAAAAAAAAAAATCAAATTGACAGCCCAAAAGCGTGCAACAAGCCCTCGTTCCTGAGCCAGCTGGTTTTCTGGGCTGCGAGGCCACGCCGGTCAGACCTGTAATTTCTGCCACAGCCGTCCAGCTGCCTACTGCTTCCTGTGTCGACTTTTAGCTGCGGCCCGAGTGGCGTACGGCCCAAAAAGACGTGTGGATTGTACGTGCGTGCGGACGTGCGTTTACCGTCTCGCTTCACTCTCTGGCCGACGAGCAGTTCTCGCTTCTCCAGAATGAGTTGCACAATGGCCTTCCTCTGCGTGTTGACCTGTGCGCACACACAAATACACACGCGAGATGAACAAGTGTGCATCGTTCACTTCAATATCTCCCCCGCACCCCCTCTGACCCCCCTTGCACGTTTTTAGTGCTTGGCCTCACTCGCTGCGTCTTTCTGGGAAAGAAAGTCGATTTGCGGCGCCAGCAGACTTTGAAACGCTTGGCGGGGGGCCCCACTGGAGGAGAAGCGTGCGTCTGCGTCTGTTTATGCGTGCGTGCTTGAACGGAAAGATACCGTCGCTCTCCTCGCGACGAACAGTCCAAGCATCAGCACGACACGTGTCCCGAGCGAGGTGATCTGCAGGTCAAAACCTGCCATCCCGCCGACCCTCGGCCAGACTTTGAATGACCCATGGGATGTACTTGTCTTAAGAACAAAAATGTTATCCTCCTCTGGAGAGATAAGAAACCAGACAAAACTTGGAAAAGCGTACGGAAGAAAGTTTGATCAGATTCATCCGGATGCTTCAATGAAAATTCTTCTGCTCTTCAACCAAAGAGAAAGAGTCAATGCCTGGGGAAAATCGGGAACAGGCAATGACGGGGCATTGTTTAATGCTATGCTGAATCACTTCAGAACTTGGGAAGGCTTATAAAAGAAAGATTGTCTGCATTTGTCACAGAGGCTGAGTGTGAAGCCCCAAAAAACTGGAAATAAGAGGGCATCATTACTTGTGTCAAAATCTTAAAAGCTTTCAGTAACCTGGAAAGGCATATTCAAGGAAAGATCAAGAAAAAAGACAGGCAATGCCAGGGTATCCTTACTGGCATAAAATCTTGAATCCTTTCACAACTTGAAAATGCATATTAAGGAAAGAACAAAAAAAAAACTCGTGCCAGGGCTCCTTGGAAAGGCAGATTAAGGAAAGAGCAAGAAATAACAGGCAATTTCAGTGCATCCCGAATGGAATAAAATCTCGAATGTCTTCAGAACTTGCAAAGGCTTTTTAAGGAAAGACGCTCTTGGGAAGGCATATCAAGGAAAAGAGCAAGAAAAAAATTAAAAAACGGCAAAGCTAGACTATCCTTATGGGCACAAAATGCCAGATCATCAATACTGCAGTGGAATCCTTGGAAAGGCGCATTCGTCAACGTTTGCAGGGCATCGTGATAGTGCGGTAAAATCGTCGTAAAGGCATATTAAGGAAAATTTGTTTGCATTCGTCACGGATATGTTCTTTCGTGGAGCAAAATCAGAGACAATGCCTGGATGTCGCTGCTGGACAAAATTTGTGATTTTTGTTTTTTTTAAGTTTGTTGACATTTGTCACTGATTCAAATTTGGATTTTTGGGGGGGAAAAAACCAAACAAGAATAACTGGAGGCTTTCCGGTAAACTGTGATATTTTTTTTCTCCACAAAAGACAATAAAACCGTGGGTTCGAGAGTGGGAAATGTGCATTTAAAAACCACCACACATCCCCCACGATGATTCCCGTAACCGCATGCACGAGTTAAGTTGCATAACCAATTTTGCACACACACTCAAACACACGCACACACACGCACACACACACGCGCGCACACACACACGCGCGCGCGCACAAAAGTTGCTCATAGTTTTGTTGTTGTTGCTGCTGCTGGTGCTGTTGCCGTTGTGGCCCCGACCTGCTCGAGGCGCTCCTGGAGGATGTGAAAGGACTGGGACAGGTCCCGCGTTTGGCGCCAGGTCCACGCCGTGAAGAGCGCGCTGCAGGCGGCCACGGACAGAGCGAGCAGGGCGAGCGAGGCCCACAGCGTCCGGAGCTTGCGCCGCCGCGGGGCGATCCGATGCATGCTGACTCAGTCGCCGCCCCCGCCGCCGCCGCCGCCGTCGTCGCTACCGCTGCCACCGCCGCCGATCATCCCACGGTGGTGCGTCTTAGTTCGGAACATCCACGGCGCACTCGATCCCCCCCACCCCTCCTACCCTGGCCCGCCGCGGTTGCTTAATAAACACGCGTGGGCCGCTAATTGGCGCGTCGCATCCCACCAACTGTTGCATCCGTCTCTCGGCGTCTCGGTTCTCCCTTTGGGCTTCTCTCGCCTGGGGGGGTCCCCCCTCTCGTCTTTATTAAGACTGCGCGCGCGTGAGCACCGACCGGGGGGGCTCCCGAGTTGAGATCTGACGCTGAGAGCCTCGTCCTCCCCTTCTGCGTGTCTCTGTGCTGCACGTTTTCTTTTTTTTTTCTTTCTTTCTTGCTTTTCTTTTCTTTTTTTTTATCAAATCAACCGCACTCGATGTGAAGCGTTGGATAATTCCTGAAGTAGCCACACGAGGGCGTAAGAATGTAAGGTTAGAATCTCATTTCGCTTGCCTGACTGCCCATTTGAGTGCTCCCGTTTGTTTTTCTCGTGATATGACCATCTTTCTTGATGTGAAAGGCGTTCTCTCGAAATATTACGGCTTTTTTTTTCCCTATGGAATTACAACTCTTTTGTTTTCTCATTGTTGTTCATTTTTATTGGATTGGGGGGACATTTTTGCGTTTTATAAAAGTTCATGTGTGGTTTTAATGAAATTTTCACCATGTCCATCCATCCATTTTCTAATCTGTTTCTCCTCACAAGGGTTCGTGGGCATGCTGGAGCCTGTCCCAGCCTGTCTTCGGGCAGTCAGCGGGCAGCACCCTGAACTGGTCGCCAGGCGGTCGCAAATTTTCACAAGATTAAAATGTTAATCTTGTAAATGTTGCAATAGTATGACTTCATTCTCGTAAAAGTAAAGTATTTTCTTGTAAAATTACTTAACTGCTAAATGTTTTAACATTTCCAAATATCAATATCATAATATGATTGTGAGTGGCGGCCCGGTGATCCATTGGTTAGCGCGTTGACCTCACAGTGCAGAGGTACCGGGTTCAATCCCAGCTCCGGCCTCCCTGCGTGGAGTTTGCATGTTCTCCCCACGCCTGCGTGGGTTTTCTCCGGGTACTCTAATTTCCTCCCACATTCCAAAAACATGCATTGGTAGCTGATTGAACACTCCAAATTGTCCCTAGGTGTGAGTGTGAGCATGGATGGTTGTTTGTCTGCGTCCTGCGATTGGCTGGCAACCAGTTTAGGGTGTCCCCCGCCCTACTACCTGAAGACAGCAGGGGGTTGCTGGAGCCTATCCCAGCTGTCTTCGGGCAGTATTAAGTCTACTTCTAAAAAAACAAACAAACAAAAAAAACAAACAACAAAAGATGATATTAAGCTTTTATTTTTGTAAATATATTTTGCATCATGTTAAAATTTCATTCTATAACATTTACAGTAGTTGGTTTCTTGTCATGTTACTGTATCTCCAATGTCCATGTTGTCTTAAATACAGTAATGTTCTTTCTCAGCCACTAGAGGGCACTGTGACCATAGAAACATGAACGAGGAATCCGACACACACAACGGAGGATTTGAAGCGACGTATCCACTCGTTAGTTATTGTTTCGACGAGCTCGCATTTTTTTGTTCTTTCTCACACTCTCTTCTAAGCAAGCCTCTTGTTTTTTTCGCATTTTCTCCTTCTCCCTTCTTTTCCTCTTATTCTCTTGCTTCCTACTTTTCCTCTCCCTTTTCCACCCTCTCTTTTGTTTCCCTCTCTCCAATCCCCTCTCTGTGGATTTCCTCTCCCTCACCCTTCTTTTCTCTTTCACTCTCTTTCCACTTTCCCTGGCTTACCCGCTTGCAGTCTTTCTTTTCGCTTTCTCGTTCCTCCCCAATTCTCTTCTTTCCTTCACGCTTTCACTGTCACTTTCCTCGCCCCTAACTTGTGTGTGTGTGTGTGTGTGTGTGTGTGTGTGTGTGTGTGTGTGTGTGTGTGTGTGTGTGTGTGAGTGAGTGAGTGTATGTCAGAAAATTGAACCTCAAGTTATCATTAGCGTGTGTCCTTTAAAACGACACAGAACACATCAAACGAACACAGTGCTCGCTAGTAGCTTAAGGCTCTAAATGTGTGTGTTCGTCACAGTGCGTGTCATTGTGTCCTGGGTGGGTGGGGAGGAAATGAGGAATTCTCGAAGGCTGCCTTGAAATTCTCATTCCTGTGTAGCCGCTTGCCTGCCTGCCTGCCTGCCTGTTCTATTAATAGGCCACGTGTGTCTCCTGGAGGCTGACGTAAATTTTTTTTTCCACCGAAATCTCGCAGATGACGCGCGGACCGACGCACTCGCCGCAGATGTTAGTCAGACGAACGAACTTGACAAGTCCTTCTTATACAGGAGTTCAGAACATGTCGTTGGCCTAAGTCATCGGCGTGGCGTACAGGAAGCCGACGCCTCTTCTTCCTGTTTAGTCTGGCTTCGATTACCCCCCCCCCCCCCCCCCCCCAAAAACACACACACATTCTAAACTTCAACAGGTCATCCTCATACCCAAAATGCACCTGTCACCTTTGTCAAGCAATTAGAGGGTCTGCTTGAATCGAGTGACTTGATTTGTGGATTTCTGACCGTCTGTAGCCGACTGAAGCATGCTTGAGTAAATCTGATTCGGTCGGGCGAAAGCGGCAAAACGGGAAATTGCGTCATCGTGTGTCTTTTTTTTCGGCATGTTCGACTTTAAGCGCTCGAAAAAAAAGGGGGGTTGAGGGAAGCAGACATGCTGTCACTCTATAGACGCTACGTACGCCCTTATTTGGACATGTGCGCTTGTGTTTTCGCTGTCAACTCTGAGTCAAGTGATGTGACGCCATCAAACGAGGAGGAGGAAGAAAGCATAAAGGCCGAACATCACGAGAATTACGTGGTAGGTTTGAAGGTCACTTGTTCAAGTAGGAACTTCATTGAAATTTTGACCTCTGGATTCAATTTAACTCGCCCGGGACTGCTGCCTCTGTCTTGAAAAATCGTATTTTCTTAAAATGAGAAATTTCTTTTATGGAAATCTGACCATCCATTCTATTATCTGAACTCCACACTGGAAGTTCAGGGCCTGGAATCGAACCCCAGACCTCTACACTGTGAGGCAGATATGCTAACTGGTCAAGTGCTGTACCACCCAGAAATCTGTCCGTTTTCACAAATTAAATATCACTTTTTTTCCTCAGAAAAAATCCTCGTAGTTTTCACAATTCTGATTTTATTTTATAATATTGCAATGTGACACACACACACACGCGCACGCACACACACACACACACATACCCACTAGTTTCTTTTCTTCATTTGCTTGCATGAATTTTGTCTGACTCGTTCAAGAGCCAGACGAACACCTCCAATGGGGACACTTGAATTGTGTTTGCCACTTTTTAGTCTCACTGAATGGCCAATGTTAGATTTACAACCTCTGGGAAAGGGGAACTAAAAGATGAACTGGGCTTGGCAATAAGCATTTATAGTTAGGCTGTGCAAACTTTTCTACTCAAAGGCCTGCATTGGAGGTTTGAATCGGACAGCTGATTTATGGATAAGGTTTAAAAAAAACAAAAACAAAAATGTTTACATAAATGTTCTTCACCCGTTTGCCAAACAAAGATTAAACCCGTCTCTTGATTTAAAACTGATCTAATCAATTGTTGGGCAACTTCCTGACAGCTTTGTGAGAACATCGGTTTCATTGTGATTGGGTGGGTCTGCGTTTAAAGCGGGTCACACCCTTCATCAAAACCTTACGGAAGAATCCAACAGCGCAGACACTACGAACCAAAAAAAGGTTGCGATCTTCCAATCCAGTCAAAATGTATTTACAGAGCAGCGCCGTTAAAAACAATACAGTGTGCTGGGAAACACACTGAGTACAATCACAGTAACATTACAGAAGACAAAAATAATCAAACACAAAACTCAAAAGTCTTTACAAATGGTAAAACTGACACAAAAGCCAAAGAGAATTCAAATAATGTTCAACCAAACCATAAAATGACTTTAGTCAGCTAGCTTAATAGTAAGATGCAATAACGTGAAATGCTAATCGAAATTAGCATACGTCACAGTAATTATAAACCTTCAAACAACTGCTACACACAAACTGAGCAATATAGCATAGAACAGAAAATTCAACATTTATCTTTAAACACCAAAATATTCCACCAACTTCATCATTTCGAGCCAACCAACGTCCACTAGCTTCATGCTAGCATAATAAGGTGAAATATCTTGTACATGCTAATGGAAGTTAACATCAATGTTCCACTCATTCTAAACCTTCAAACAGCCGCTACTTTACACACACAGAGTAGCAAAACCTACAAGCAGTCTTTCTTCTGTGTCTCCAGTTGATGAAAAAATATTTTGGTCACTTTTAAGTGTGATTCTAAATATGTGAATACATCCAAGAGTGTTTGGGTCTCATTGTACATGTACACTTGGCTCTACTACGCAACTGTATTTTAATCTTGGGTCAGTGTGGTGGTACATGGAGATGAAGTATTTCTTGAGTTGGTACTTGGTATGAAAAAAAAAAAGACAACCACTGCTGCAAAAAATAGACTAGGGTAACAGCGAGGGTCAGTGTAGGACATTTAGGTTCATCCTGAAATTCCACCCAACTATTTGGGAATAGTGTGCGATGACTCCGGGGTTGGGCTGCCGGTCTGAAACGCTTCCATTACGTTGACGCTGAGCCCGACGAACAAGAATGGCTCCAGTGTGCACTGTTGAGGCACCATGGCAGGCATGACGTCCAAAGCCTTGAACTGTTTTTGGGCTCAACCCAGGAAGAAAACAGGGCCCCTACTGTTTGACCACGTCAGGCACTCACTGCACATACACGTTTATGATTTGGCACTGTTCAAAGGTAATGCTTATAAAAATGTTTTGCTCGACACTAAAAATAGTTTAGGATAATCCAGGCATCTTTTTCAGTTTTTCCACATTGGGTTTATAGGTGAACTGGACGCTTTTCTCCGGGTGAGATGTATATTGTGGACTGGGCAAATATAGACAAAAAAATTCTCACTCACTGTATGGACAATATAGAGTCCTGTTGACCTCAATATGCGTGCTTTAACTGTTATTCTGAGATAAGTGTGCGGACATTCATTAACGCATTAATAGCGTCAAGCTTGAAAAGGTCAAAAAGAAATGGGGGTTATCTTTCTAAGTGCAATATTGATACCAACAGACACTTTTTATTTCTGACTTATTTCAAGACAAGTCGTTTTAACTAGTACAAGAAGAAATCGTTCAGTTGTTTTTTCACCTTACGTTGTGCTCTTAAAGAAACTTGACATTTGTAGTGGCCCAGCACACCCCTTCACCTCGCGTGGAGTTAGTCGCGCCCACTCCAAGTTTCTCGGTTTCTCTGACGCAGGTGCGCGTCCACGCGCGACTAGCGCGCGCCCCCGTCGTTTAAAGCAGTCGCAAGCAGAACCAAGTCAACCACAGGAATGTGATCCAGATAGCATTGCATTAGCATCGAAAGGCGTAGCGTGTGTGGAAGTAGACACCGAACCTACAACCGACTTTTTATCGTCCAAGGTGACATTTCCCTCTTCTCCTCGTGCGTTTTAGCTCGGCAGTGCACTTCAAGTGACGTTTCACCTAAGGCCTTCGCGGACATCGTTTGGATGAGACTGCCACGGCCAGGTAAGAGCGACGACCGAAGCGCCTTTAAGAAACTGCACATTTGAACATTTGCTCGCTTGATTGTCGCACACACGACGCGTGTCACACGGATGACTTTGTACGCTTAGCTCTACTGGTTCGATTGTTAATTCGGCATGTTTTGAACGTAAAAGAGTGAACTTTACGAGTGTACTGTATTTAAAAAAAAAGTTAAAATTCTATCACTAATTAATCTGCACATATGAATGACCAATGTATAACGAACCTTATGCATAACCTTGGTTCTGCATTAGTTGAGAAGTTTAATCTCAACAAAACGAGTGCATTGCCGGCATTATGAGGCATCTTTGTGTCAAGGAAATATGTTAAAGTGAGTTGAGGAGCTCCATTTAGAAGAAGAGCATGCTTTGCCACCATCTTGTAGCACCATGGTGCAAAGGAACTCTGTAAAAGTGAGTTCAGGCGTTTCTTTTGGACAAAAAAAATGCATAACCGGCATCTTTGTGTCCAAGAACTATGTTGAAGTGAGTTGAGAAGTTTCATTTGGACAAAAAAAAAAGACTTTGCTACTATCTTGGTGTAAAGGACTTACAATGAAATGAGTTAAGGAGTTTGGGTGACAGTGGTAGGTAACCACTGTGTTTGTGTACTGTTGGAGGAAATTGTTGCTCTTGTTTTGCAATACATCAGTCCTGTTGTGTCAAAGTGTTTGGTAAGTCTAATAATGACACACTCACAGAAGCATGCCATTGTTTGGAGAACACAAGTATTTCAGGGGGTTGGGTGGGGGGCCTGGGGGGTGGAAAGCTGTTTCCTGCATCAATGTCCCACTAACAATGGTCAAACGTTTGAGACTGTGCTCATTTCTGAGGAGGGATGGTGAAAGAATGGTGGGCGAAAAAAAAAATAAGGGGCCAAAGTGAAAGCGACACAATGGAGAAGAGGCTTGGAGCTTGTGAGAAGAGGGCGATGTGATGGTTCTGTAAGTCTGGAGGTCACAGAAGGCCTTAAAGCGTCACGCAATAGTACAGTGGAGCCCCCTGCTTTTAGCATAATAGCAAAAATCCATGAGTAATTAACCACCCCCCCCAAAAAAAAGGACTACGATTTATTTCAATTTTCATCTCTTTCTTTCAGACAAAAGCAACTCCGTCTGTAGAAAAGGTGAAACAGCGGTGGAGGTGGTCCACGGGAAGCGACACTTTCAATTCGGCGCCATGTCCCTCGGCACCTTCCACCTCATGCAGACCTTGAAGAACTCTCCGGCCGCGCTGCGCCGCCGCTTCCGACGCGACCGCACCGAGTCGCTGTCCCACGGCGACCCGCTCTTCAAAGTCCACTACCTGGGCACCGAGAAGATCTTCTCCCTGGACCGAGAACAGGCGCGGGACGCCATCGGCCGCCTGCTGGCGGGCGTGGCCAGCGGCAAGAAGCTGAGTAAGGACCACGCCCTGGTGGTGCGGCCTCGCTACGTGGAGGTCAAGGAGCTGAGCACGGGCCGGCAGCTCACCAAGACATACCTGCAGGACATCGCGTACTGCGCCGCCGACGCCGACCGCCCCAACGTCTTCCTGTACATCTGCAAGCACCACGGGCAGCAGCTGCAGTGCCGCGTGTTCTGGTGCAACCGGGCCGAGCGGGCGCGGGACATGACCAGCTGCCTGGCGCACTCCTTCCAGCGGGCGCTGAGTGACTGGCAGCGGGAGGGCTCGGCCACGCCGCCGTCGCCGAGTGCCGACGACGCAGCCGGCTCACCGGCCACCAAGAGCTCCACGCTACCTGCCAGCTTGGGCAGAGGTGAGCAGTCTGGTTCCGCTCATGTGATTCCAAAGCGCCGTGAATGTTAGCCAAATTGACTTCAATGTATTTTTTCTAGAAGAATATATTTATAAGACTGATATAAGTATAATTCATTTTGATTTCGTGCGCATGCTGTACCTCCTGCGGGGCCGCAATTTAGTACATTTGCAAATTAGCGTTTTGTCATCTATTGTGGCCACAATTTAGCATTTTAAATGTTGTGCTCCTAATGTGAGCACATTTTAAAAAATTCAACAGATTAAAAAAAAAAAAAAAAAAATCACAAGCCCATATCAGACCAAAACATTTCCATAATAAATCTCATTTATTTTATGGTAATAAGTTAATTCCATGCGGTCATTAGGGCTGAACTCAGCATTCTATTGATTATCTCAAAGATGAATTTAAATTGATTTCGCAATATGCAATAAAATGCACATGGGGTGCAAGCATTTTTTTTTTTTAATCTCCTAAGAGTTGCCATCCTCAGGTTTTACTGTAGTATCTTTTGAGTATGACATTAAACATGAAAAAGGTGGGGCCTGGGCTGGTGAGTGACGTGGGCGTCGGCGATTAAGAGTGCAGTGCAGTCGAGTTGTATCGTCCCTAATTGGCTCCTATGTCGTTCCACTTCCAGTCCGCTGGAGGAAGAGAGGCTCCGTGTCCCGAAGCCCCCTCCGAGCCATCGCCAGACGAGGGTCCGCCTCTGGCAGCTGGAGCTGAGCCGCCC